GCACAACAGGACATGAAATTGTATTTTCTGAAGAGCCTGAAAGAGGCTGACAAACATTGTCTTATTTTTTATTTATTTTTCAGCAACTCTCCCCTTTGTACCCATCTGCTCTGCTGACCCGCGTTGCTGTCCTACATTCCTCTTATGGCGCTTTTCCACTGCAGGACCTAGTATGGCTTAGTACGGTACGGTTAGGCCTTGGTAGGCCAGGCTCACTTTAAGCTGCGTTTCCATTACAGTTTAGGAACTGGGGTAGTAACTATAGTAACGCAGTGTAGGCGGGCTGTTCGGCGAGCGGAGCGACGCTGCGTAAAACTGCTGTGATGTCATCTTCAATGCGAACCAGAAAACCAAAACATCAGCCGTTAGCTGTTAGCACTCAGAGCTCATAGCTCCTCATATCTGTTCAGAAACTAGACAGAAGTTAAACAAGTACAAACCACAGACTGTCTGTGTCATGGCGAATACAGTTGCTGGTTTATTTATGTCTGTAGGCCGTTGTTGTGAGTGTGGACGGAACATATACAACATTAGCTTAGCCTGATCGATCCGATCTCCATTCAGAAAACACGCATTTTAAAAGGTTTTTCGCCTGCCGTCTTGTCTGCAGACCGGTATCAGTATGTTGTTACTTCGGCATCATTTTGAAACGTGTATTACAATTAAATCACGGTCAAATATGTTCATTTTGTTGTAGTTGTAGCTCGCTTGCCAGCGATTCTCTCTGACCATTCAGCAGTCGAGAGTGTTTACGTCACTCGTTTAGCATATTCAGCCCGGTTGTTGGCCCGGTAAGAACCTCGATTTTGGAGGAACAGAAAAAAGGTGAAAAAGTAGCCCTAGCGGAAAATCAAAAACCATGCTACGTGCTGCAGTGGAAAAGCGCCATTAGTGGAGAGCTTTAAGTTCTCCATGAGAAAATGAAGAAGTGAGAAGTGATGGGGGGGGGGTGATCTGTCTGTCTAATAACAGCCCATGAGCCTGTGTGACCTTGTGTGTCCTTAGAAAGAGGTTGAACCTTTTTACGCTCCGGGATCTTGGCAGCCGTTTGATTTATATAACGTGAGATATGAAGGGCATTCATCTGAGGAAATGTTCCAGAGACAATTTTTCTCGATGATTTAAAATCTTATCCAGCGGACATCATCTGAATGTGAATGTGGAGCTTTGAGCTGCACATTTCCTGTCCCCTGCTTGACTTGTCACGGCTGGTGCCATCACGTTATTCCTCACGCTGAGCATACACACACATTATCCGAAACTCTGACCTGATGGTGTGCTGCACAGGTGATTTCCTGGGGCGGAAAAGAGAGGGAGAGGTGTAGGTGGACTGTAGAGCGGCTGGAGTAGCTGGTGAAGGTCAGCAGACGGTCAGTGGCTCAGGGCCCCCGATACGACCAGACAGAAACACAGAGTGTGAGACGGCTCATCGAGCAGCGTGTAAAGTCTGGCTTGCTTCGGTGTTTGCTCATTAGCACATGTCTGTAACGGCACAGTGCACCTTCGATGAAATTAGGGATGTAGGAAAGGATAAATTAAAGGGAAAAGTTTGAATATCTTTCAGAAAATGTTTCAAACACACTAACTAATCACCATTATATATATATATATTATGTTTTGGGTAATAGCATTATAAAGTAATTAAGTTGTTGGTATCTAACATTGGATGGGTGCATCTTTTTCCCTATTCACACATCCTCATTGTGCAGATTTAAAAATAATTTGTGTATTTTCCACAGCACTTCAGCTCAAATCTTTGATCCTGCTCCTCTTTGATGCCAGTGAAATTCGTGAGAGATAAAGCTCAAAGCAACGCAGAAGGAAGACTGCACTCATTTACATACAGTGCAGACACCTAGCAAGTATCTAGTACAGCGTGATGCAAAATGACTTGAGTGTAGGGCTGTATAAAATCGACTTGTTAAATATGAATGTGGTGCGACGTAGCAACTCATCGTCGAGGTATGAGGTGTAGGAAGATTTGATATGCTGACGTCTGGCAGACAAAGATCTCTGTCACTGTAAAGCTTGTACCCACACACAGTCTGTCTCACACAAAGAGACTCTTTCATATAAGATGCCTTTGCAGGGAGAATGAGGCTGAAAGAGCTGCCGTATTCTGGGCAATGAAACTGTCACTGCAAATGGTCCAGCCAGTTGAGATTTGCACTTTCCTCTACTTGGACGTAGCCAGTACAAATGTGGGGTAAACCATAAGCAAAGTCAGCTCTGCACAGATGGCAGGGTGTGTCTATCAACAATATACACCACTGTACAACACAGTGCAATACATTTCAACAGCACTACATCCCTTAAAATGATCGTACAGTTCACTTAACACCTCTCCTAAATACAAAAATAATGTTCTAACCCTTTTTAAGTTAGGATTTATTGCTTCTCTTATTAGACTGTATTACTTTTAGCTTGCTTTCCCTAATAAACTGGCAATTTAGAGTTCATCACATACAGATTTCAATTAATTTATACACCAATATCTTTCAAGATACTGTTTTAGCTATTTTGTTCCTGTATTTGTCTATAAAAACCAGTGAATTGTGCGTAAGCTGCTGTGCTGATCATTAGGGAGCTTATATTAATTGAAGACGGCAACAAAATGAGATTTATTTTGTTATAATTGGTTGATTAGCTTTCCTCGCATTATGTTGCATAACGTGCATTTAATTTGTGCTTTGAATATAATCTACATAATGCTGTCTCAACCATGGCGATGTGGTATGCTGCAAGTAAGAATAGAATTATAACATAACTAGTGATGTATTGATTTCGACACTCAATTTAGAGTTCTGCTTTCCTATTTTTGTTGCCATTTTTAAGATGACTGAAGTGGCAGAGCTGGGATTGAACTGTATTATAGTATCGCTTGTATCTGGTCGTTTTTCCCTTTACAAATCAAAATAAAGTGAATCATGTGAGTGAAAACATGTGTGGGTGAGGTAATGAGAGGTTACTGTGACAGTCTTTATAATCCAGTTTTACCCAGCTCAACTGTAGAGTTAACCACAGCCCAGTGGACGTTGTTTTGATTTGAACATACAATCCTTAAATCCCTTCCCTCTCCCTAAACCAACCTCCCTTCACACAGCCAATCACAGCCCAGCATCCGGTGTGTTGTTTACGAGTCTCACGCTACCACGACCAAGCTACAGACCCTGTTAAACCCCCGGGATGTAGAGGTGGGACAGGGGGCCGAGTGTTTCTCAACATCCAGAGGAAAGAAATACCAGCAGAGCCCTGACGCCAGAGGGAAACTGACATGATTCCTTCCTGATAGCTTATTAAAGTGAATGAATTCCTTCTTCTGTCAGCCATTCAGAGGATTGTGTCTGCAATCTGTAATACCAGTAATTAGATTATCATCTCTTGTAGAGTAGGGAAGTGAAGAGATTGTAAATCATCGCGTCTGTAAATAGAGTTTTACTGCTGCTACAAGTTTAGCAATAAACAAACCACAGCCAACATTTAATGGAACTTTTCTTTCTTTTGAGGCTGGTTTATTTCATAAAAGAATTCTGCGGCTGTGACTGAAAAGCTGGATCATAAATCCGAATATTTATAGCAGCTTGTGCAGGGGTTGTAATTGCTGTTTGTCTTATGCTTATTTGGTTCTTTAACAAACGTCCTGTTGATCCGGATACAGAGAGGCGTCCTTTGACTCCATTCATCGCAGTGTGAGATGATGTCATGACGCATGGTACAAGTACAGCACTGCAATAATGATCAATGGTTAGCATTTAGCAGTAATAAGTAGTCATTTAGGTGGGGAAAGAAGCCCTAATAATGGTTGTTCAGTCCTACCCTGTCATAAAACTCTGTCAGCTTCCTCATCTCGGCATCATATGATTTCCTTGCAGAGGGAAAATGTTCTGTCACACAGATTTAGAGTTTTTATCCATCAATACCAAGATCAATAATTATATCTTCTTCATAACTATAAAGCTAATTCTTTATTGATCTTCAACAAGAAGTCTCAAAGAAGATAGTGTTCCTAGAGACGGTATGTATTTTTGCTTCGTCAGACCTCAATCTAGCCATGTGAGAAAAAGGTCAAATAACAGTCATAGCTTAACCTTTAAATCCTAGTGCAGATCCTGAATGAAGTGTTTGAAACTCCACTGCACCACACGTTTTTGCTGCATAAGGGTTACATCAGGTCTGTGCTGAGGCAGCGATATCCTGGGATAAGCAGTCTTTAGGCTATTGGTCGCTGTTGCATAAACACTCATGGAGCCCCCGGGCTGTCTGCGTCTGCCAGATTATAGACCTAGCCGGTGCCTCTTGACTCCACTCCACTCTGCTTCCTCTTTATTCCCATCTCCAGTAACACATCATCCATCATGTGGCCCATGCTTCATTTCTGTAAATCCCTCGTGGACAATCCCCTCACTTCTCCCTATTTTACTCCTGATAATCCATCTCTTCCCCCCCAACACTGCTCATCCCGTTGGCCTACTACTCTACATCATCATGTGTTAGCTGGCTGGCAACATTTAGCATAAACTCATGGAGTTATCTTTACACTGACCCCTCCTTGTTTATTAATGAATGAAACATTGAGTTGGATGGCGTTTAAATAAAAATGACGCCACAATGATTTTTTGAGTAGATTATATGGAGCTTTTAGAAGGTATCTTAACCACAGCACAGGTGACGTCTAATAATTTCAGACATGCTTTTTCTGTTGAGAAGTTAAGCAAGAGCTTTTTAATGCTTTGCTGCTTTGTTTTCAATTTTTTACTGTTTTTGTTCATCCTCACCGCTCTCATAAAGTCGTACCAAACAGCCGTCAAGTTGGCTAACATTTAGCATCTGAAGAGCCAGATATTAGACTTTGTCCAATGAACACAAACACAACTGTATCAGGGTGTGTAAAACCATAACAACTTTAAAAGATTATACGTGTCAATATTTTTGTTCGCAGCTTGTAACAGCATTAGCATAATGCTAACGCCTACGTTTTTTTTTATGTCTGCCCCCTGCAGGTAAGCCAAGGTAATGTCCCCGGTGTGGAGAGTGCCTCCCTGGCCATGGACACAGAGGAGGGGGTGGAGGTGGTGTGGAACGAGGTGCTCTTCTCCGACAAGAAGGTCTTCAAAGCACAGGAGGTATGGTGGCTCTTATTCCCTACAGACAAGACATGCACTATACAACGTTGTTATATTTAAATTTGGGATTTAACCCAGGTAAAATAACAAGTCTTGAAACTAAATCTGATATACTACACTTCCCCATTTGGATACATTTGTGTTTTAGAGTGATAAAATGTCTCCAAAAGAACCCCTAAAAGGGGAAGTTGGAGGTCTTTAATGATTAATTTCATTATCGATGTACTGTATTTGCAGATTATTATTAGTGAAAAATTGTTAAATAAATGCCCATTACAAATTCTCTGTATCCAAGTTGAAACAATGATGTAATGATTTAGTTCAAATAAGAGTCCAAGACCCAAGGTGAATTCACCTAAAAGACCAAGGAAACTACCCAAATTATGAACAAAAAGATATAGTGATTTCTTTTTGGTTCATTTGCTTTAGAAATTAATTAATTTACTGATCATGTAATCAACTTATAGTTTTAGATTTAAGTATGTTTCTTGGACGATGATGTAATGTAAAGATGTGAATCAACGCTGATTCTTTTTCTTTAGGAGAAGATCAAGGAGATGTTTGAGAACCTGATGCAGGTCGAACACCCCAACATTGTCAAGTTCCACAAGTACTGGCTGGACATGAAGGAGAGCCAGGCGCGGGTACAACATGTTTTAAACTCCTATAGTCTTCCCCCCCACCCCCAGTGCTATTAATTTCCACACACACTGGTTCATTAACACAACTCCATAATGGCCCACAGGTTATATTCATCACAGAATACATGTCGTCGGGCAGCCTCAAACAGTTTCTGAAGAAAACTAAGAAGAACCACAAGACTATGAATGTGAAGGTTAGTGTGCTCTGCACAGTCTATTCAGTCTATGGCTCTGCCTGTCCCCTGGTGGTGGCTCTGAGTACTGCAGACAAATCCCTGTTAAGATCCATATTTCCTGCAGGATTAGAGATGATGTAACGGAACACCCTAGTGGCTAAATCTGTTTAAACATCTTATCATCTCTTTTTTCTCTCTTCTTTCTTCTCTGTCTGCTCTTTTCTGTCTATATATATATATAATAATAAATTGCAAAATAAATGCAGTAACAATGCTCTATTTGGTTCTGAGAATTTTGGATTTGTATTATTGTGTCTTTAGAGGACTCATGTTGCTTTGTTACGCTACATTTTAGGCCTGGAAGAGATGGTGCACCCAGATTCTTTCTGCCCTCAGGTACTGACTCATTTCTTCCCCAGGCTTTTAAAATGAGAGATTTCTAATATCACAGCCATCACATTAACCAGTCGCTTTATTGTTTACTCGGCAGTTACCTGCACTCTTGTGAACCACCAATAATCCATGGCAACCTGGTGTGCGACACCATCTTCATTCAGCATAACGGCCTCATCAAGATCGGCTCAGGTCTGCTCCCCTCAGGGCTTTTTATGTTATTGCATCCAGCATATCTCGCCCATGATATATCCTCTAAATCTGCATTTAATGAATTCAGAAGAAAAAAATCTGAATAATGCTTCTTTCTTTTTTTCACAGTGTGGCATCGGCTATTTGTCAATGGTAAGAAAAAGTTCATTTCGTAGTGGGTACGTGTCACCTACGTCAATTTATGCCATGTTATGTTTATATACTTTTTGTGTTATCTCAAACCAGTGTTTCCAGATGCCAGCGTCCACGGTAAAGCAAGGCAACATCGAGATGAGCAGAGGAATCTTCATTTTTTTGCTCCAGAATATGGATGTAAGTGGGATGGAGCAGAGTTTGTCTGATTATGATTTATTTTAAAGTCTCATAATTTGTTTATAGTAATCATCTTACTAAATACTGTAATACCTTGATAGCCTAACGTCTCTTTCAACAATTGTAAAATTGCCAAGCAGAGTGGAAAGTAGCTACTGTGATAGGATATTACTCTCCGTTTTCAGTCAAATACAAATGTTTTATTGACAGTGTAGATTCTCCCACCAGTGAAGTGTGGGACAGTGTGCTACATTAATGACTGTCATTTTAGGGGATGGAGAGATAATGACTGTCAGGATAATATGAGGCACACTGAAAACCGCAAAAATACTATATTGTTCTGCTCAGACATTTAATTGGATGTTGTGTGCCTCTTCTAAAGCTGCAAAAAACATAGACTGGTTAATTATTAGTTTGCGACAAGCCTCAATCTGACTGCATTTTAATTTTAGGGTAAGCTTTTCCTAAGGGTTATTGATGTGTTCATCTTTGCTTCTCCATTTCTGCTTCTAGCCAGCGAAGATGATTATGCCATAGACATTTTCTCGTTCGGCATCTGTGCTCTAGAGGTGAGAGAACAGGTCTTACAGATTGTGTGTGTGTGTGTGGTGTGTGTGTGTGTGGTGTGTGTGGTGTGTGTGGTGTGGTGTGTGTGTGTGTGTTGTGTGTGGTTGTGTGTGTGGTGTGTGTGGCTGTGTGTGTGGTGTGTGTGTGTGTGTGTGTGTGTGTGTGTGTGTGTGTGTGGGTGTGTGTGTGTGTGTGTGTGTGTGTGGTGTGTGTGTGTGTGTGTGTGTTGTGTGTGTGTGTGTGTGTGTGTGTGTGCTTGTGTGTGTGTGTGTGTGTGTGTGTGTGTGTGTGTTAATATGTGAGTGTTTAACATATTATTCGCACCCTTAGATGGCAGTATTGGAAATCCAGGCCAATGGAGATACTGCTGTTTCAAAGGAGGCCATCATCAATGCAGGTCAATCCCTAGAAGACCCTCTTATGAAAGTGAGTCTAGTCATACAAACTGTCCTTATTACACAGCAAACATGGAGATAAAGATAAACTGTTCACCCACCCTGCTTCTACATGTATTTGTTATCACATGTAGAGACTTTGTACAGTTTTAAGTGAATGTGGCAGTGAAACATGCCAGGAAATCCAGAACAGATGTTGCTCAACTGGGTCATACTGTTCAATATGAAATTGATGTGTTGGACTCAATGTGTGGTTGCTTTCTGCAGGAGTTCACCCAGTCCTGTTTACGCCATGAAGCCAAGCTCCGTCCTACGGCTCACGACCTTCTGTTCCACCGAGTCTTGTTTGAAGTCCACTCCCTCAAACTGCTCGCCGCCCACTGCCTCATCAACAACCAGTGTGAGTTTCTCACCTTCGCACACTGGGTTTATAATCACTAACGTCTATTTTTTTAATGCACATCACAACATGTATTTGTTTCTACATGGAGAAGATCAATTGAATCACTTTTAAATGTTTGAGTGCTGCAGGAATGACGTATTTGTGTAGGCCGACTAGGAAGTTAGCATTGAAACGGCTCCCTTGACAAAAATAAATGGGATTGTTCTATTGGATTTTGGAATATAGCTAATATTAAATAAACTCTGTGGCAAAACACGTTTTTGTTCAGCAGGATAAATTCCTCACTTGTTAGAAATCACTGTTTTTATAACACATAGAAGATTGGACATTCACAAGTAGGGTAATTATTTATGTATTTTTGTTTCAGTCATATAACCACAATCACATTCAGAAAATGTACCCAAAATAATAAGAAACCTTTTATCGCACAAAAACAGATTTGTCAAATGTGTTTAATAAATAATCAACACTTGTTTTGCCTCTACAGACTTGCTCCCCGAAAACTGTGTGGAGGAGAAAACCAAGTCCTTCGACCCCAACGCTGTCATGGCGGAGATTAAGCATGATGACAGACAGGGAGTTCAGCTCAAGTAAATGAACACAAGCACCTCTTATCTTTGGCTACTTGTCTTGAATATCCTGACATGACATGCAAAGCCTAACACTCATTCCACTGTGTTATCTCCTATAGATATTCCCATGTGTCTCCTTTGGAGCTTGACAAGTTTCTGGAGGATGTCAAGTAAGAGGAACTATTCGTACTCTATCATACCGTTTATTACTGTTACTGTAGCTTGAATTTCAACATGACTTCCTGTCTCCTCTCCAGAAATGGGATCTACCCATTGATGAACTTTGCATCATCTCGACCTCACCCCGTCCCCCGTGCCCTCTCCTTGTCTCAGGAGCAGGTCGAGACGGTCAAGACGCCGACTCCTGAACCCCAGGAGACCGAGACAAGGAAGGTAAGACTTTAAGACGTCACCCAAAAATGTTAAGCTACACAATCTGGCTGCATACAGAGATAACATGTCTCAGGTTCATTACTCACTGACCCTCTTTGTCTGTCTGTGTTGTAGGTTGTTCAGATTCACTGTAACTTGGAGTCAAATGAAGAAGGGACCAAAACTCATGTGAGTCACATTGTATTACAGGTACTTTTTTCTATTTTAGTGTAAACTATTTTATAAGGCTCTTTTAAATGTAAGCCTTTTGGAATATTTTGCCAGTAACATTCTACTAGCACTACTGTTACAACATTTATTTTATAAGCAACGTCAATTATAGTAGTAAATTGATTTACACTTTTTGATCTCTCCTCAGCTATCTTTGTTTCTGAAGATGGATGACAAACTTCATAGGCAGCTCAGCTGTGACATCCTTCCAAGTAAGTTGGCCACCACTTTACCTTTTAAGAAGAATATATTTAATATTAGTACTTCAGCAGTGTGACTCTATATTTTTCTTGCTGTCTACAAATACCATGAAAAGAACAAAACCACAAAAGCTTGAATCAGCGTCTTATCACTTTCCGACATCCCAAGCCTTTAGTGCATTCAGACCCAAGCCCAGGTCACAAAATACACTTGACATTTTCATAAAATAGTTGGGCATTTTCGGGGAAACATTGTAAAAAGTGCATTTGTTAAGGCACTATTTTCAGTGTTGTATTGACCAAAGCTTAAACAGTTGTGCCCATGTTAATGGTAATTAGAAAGGTATGCTTAAGAAACAAGCCACCCAGCTTCTCAGGCTTTGGATACACACATACAATACTTGTGATTGTATTTTTATCACTGTTCTTTTCTTGGGATTGGTTGACAATTAAAACATGTATATGAATCACCATACTTATCCCTAATAAACACCAAGCTCTTAAGGTTCATTTTGTCACAGATTTGTATAACTGAAATATTTAATATGACCATTTTAGCTGATACCTCCAGAGACCTTGCCAGTGAGCTTGTTCACTACGCCTTCATAACTGAGGTACATATAAAAACATCTTTGTTTGTTCTTGATTAACAGCCATAAATGTCATTTTGCTTGTGTTTGGATTTCTTTAAGCAAAACTTGACGTCCCATTATGTCCCGTGTGCTCCGTAGGGAGGACAGTGAGAAGGTGGCAGTGTTCCTGGAGGACGCCATTAGTCGACACCGGGTCCGAGGACTCACCTCTGGGACCACACAGTGGAGGTTGGGTCACAACGGCGGCTGGCCCCCAGACATAGGGGCCCGGCGTTGACCATACGGCATCAAGAAAGGGATCACACAGCCGGGAACGGAGGGGCTGACCCAGCTGGGCACATGAAGGGGACAAATACTGAAGGATGCCGGGCTTTGACAGTCAGTTAACCATCCCAGATGAGAACGATGGGAACGCCAGCGCTGAGAAAGGAACCAAAGGGCCCCTCTGATAGGAGGGCCGGAGGCATCATGACTGTGTTCAGCAATCCCACAAAGCAGTGGAAGATTGACAAACTCCCTGCATAAAAGGGCTATCATGCTCTTAAGATATCTTGACAACTTTTCCATGATGCCACTATTCAGAATGGATATGTTTCACTTGCAAATACAACAGATATGTTTCAGACGGATGTTTTATTGCTTCGTTTGCACTCCAATGTCCTCATTGATTAGTGCATATTTACGTTGAATTGTAAAAAAGATAATTTTACTAAAGCCTCTCCCCATGCAAACCAGAACCGTCGGTTTATTTCAGTTTTAGGAATGTAATATTCCGTCCAGCATGCACTATTAATAATCATTCAGTTGACTTATTTATTTCTGCTTAACTGTGAACAATAGAAGCTTTGCACAAACCTATTTTTTTTCTTTTGTTTTCCTAAACTTTTTTTGACATGCAGCGTTAACAAACCTCATGGCACTCTGAGCTAAACACACCATGCCTACATGTTATGACGAGCAATGAAATGATGCCTCTCTTTCAGCCTGTTGTGCTCTTAAGGGGTTTTCCCTATGAAAGTGTTCTGAAAGCCAAAGACTTGCAAAGTGCCTGATATGGCAATGTACTTTTGGACAAAATGTCCTAATTGAAACTCATTGGTACACAACATAGCAATTTGGAATTTAACTAATTTCAGGCTGACTAAGTTTTAAACCAGACTAATTGATTTGTACTAGTTCCGTCTCTTATCATGAGTCTATATAGTCAGCCTATGTGAATGTGAAGATGAACTTGTATTGGCAGCTCCCATTAGAAGCTGCGCCTTTGTATATTGGACATATGGATCAGGTCAATATTACTTTGGAAAGAGCTGCAGTAATGTACAACAATTGGAATACATCAGAGGAAGCTTGTGAAACGAAATCATAGTCCTATATGAATGGTAGAAAGGGTGATGGTAATGTGATTTATAGATATGTTAATACAAAATTGCGTACTTTTAATAAATGTACTTATTTTTGCAATATTTCTCAAATTATCTGAGTATATTGTCTAACAATGAAACACCTACCCAAATAATGGAAATAAGCCTTTGGAATTTATTGTGTTTTATCCTCTCTGATTTTTGACATTTGTATAAAATACTTTTAATCAATCAATTAATCAAAGTCATTAAGATGATGTGGTTTTAGATTTGTGTTGCTAATGTAATCAACTTAAGAGCTAAACTCTGAAAGATTGCATGTGCCGCAGGTGATAAAACCCAATCTCTGATAAAATAGTGGCACTCTGCTCAGAAAATGTTAATCTCCCAGTACCAGATCTACTGTAGGTTTATTTCAGACAGTGTGAACTTTAGGACTGATTGCACTGCTGCCCACACAAACACAAAAATAGAATACACTCCTTCAACTCTGCCAGATTTTGGCAAAATTCTGACAGCAAAAAAAACCCCATAGTGAATGGTCTGATCCTTTTCAGCAATGTACTCGTATGTCAGCCTAATTTGGCTCTGCTCCATTTCTTTCCTGTGTCTGTTAGTTCTTGGTTTCACAACAGTTAGAGCTGTACAGTCATTGCTTACAGTACTTACTTACTCAAGCCTTCTTATCAGCGTGTCTCTGAAGACAGAAGCCCTACATTCTCCAAGATATTCAATAACTACGGGCTGTGGTGTACATATTTGTTTGTGGCTATTGAAGGGGTTTACTTTTAGACAAAATGTCACTGCAAAGCAGTGCCACTGTTGCTTTCATTTTATCTAGTAAGCTGCATGTCTTAATAGCCTGCAACAATTCAAAACTTTGCATTTTGCCTTTGTCAGTCACAGTTTAGTTCCAGAGGGGACCTGACCAAGAAAATGAATGTTAAGACTGTGAAAACATCCATATCAGTCTTATTTAATGTTTTTTTCCCCTGTGAATCTGTTGAATGAAACTTGCTTTTGGATGTGTTCTACTTAAACCTTTGTTAAATATTGTAGGTACTGCAATTAATTACAATAAACAATATGTGACAGTGACATGTTGGGTATGTCTGAACTTTTTTTTTTGCTATACTACAAATGTATACTTTTATGTATTGAGTATATTTTGCGTTCACATGAACACATGTTATGAAAGAATAATTGAATTCACGAAAGTAATGGATTTCTATTTAGTAGGCATTTGCATACTTCTGTGCATCAGGTCCTGTCTGTGATGTTTTCGATGTTCAGTGTTTGGCTAACACTAGTACTATTTGCTTAAAACTTTGGGAGTTGAAATAAAGCTCACATAGTCTGATGAAAGACAACACTATTTAAAACATTTATAACAGTGACGTTATTAGAATGGCTGTATTGTAAAATGGTTCATACCAGCGCCATATAGATGAGAAACGTTGTTTCCAAAACTCCTCTCAGACTATCATCGCGAGGGTTCCGACATCGCGATATCTTTTATTTAAAACGTGAAGCTCTCGCGAGTGTTTAGTGAGTTGGCCTCTCAAGACAGTGTGCTTCATGGCGGTTACGGAGACTGCGGTAAATGTATTTCTGATTACAATCAAACACTAACCTGTTTAGCTAAAGTTGCGTTTGCATATTAGTTAGTGATGTTTAGTAGAATTTATTCGCACTTAATATCCTGTAAATAGACTAAATGTATCTAAATATAGCTTCACGCGCCATTGCAATGAATGGCTAACATTAGCTTATGTCAGCTAGCTCCTTGCTACCAACAAAGATTACGCAAGCTTAATAGAACTCAGTTATAGATATTCAGTAGTTAGTGTTGTTGTAATAATTATGCAAATTAATGTATATGTGGGTGCTACAAAGATGCATCGTGGTTAATGTCTTTATCGACTTTAGCTTGACACGTCTTCGATTAGCCCATTGTTGCTAGTTTACCTCGCTAACCTAGTTTATGTTAGGATGGCATCCATCATTCACATTCATGTTTATCACTCTGACGTAAGATGGCTACATTTATAAGGAACGACTGACCGGCTTTGTGAAGTTTGCAATGTAACATATTGCTAGCTGTCTGTTATGTTAGTCTGAAGGAATTTTTTATTTCCCCTAGAATTTGTTGAATTGTTAAAGCTTCCCCGTCAGTCATCTTCTTTCCTGCCTCAGTCTGGTGGACCCAGCGATTAGCGGGTTGCGTAGGTAAGGAGTTCGTCCCGTCCCACCTGGTTTAAATCCGGGTGTTTGTCCTGTATATGCTAGCACATGTTATGATAAACTGTGAGGTAATGTGACTTCTAAAAGTAACGCAAGCATTTTTTTTAATGGGGGAAGTGTAATTATGGGTGTGTACATACAGGCAGGTTTTAATGCTTCAAACTAATTTTGTGTATCTTATTTTCTTCATTAATTGCCTTTTCTGAATTGCAGGGAGGTGAAGCAGCTCTGACGATGGAGAATGGACAGGGCACAGGCTCCAAGCTCGGCCTGCCGCCTCTTACCCCAGAGCAGCAGGAGGCATTACAGAGGGTAGGAAACCCCTGACACAGTATCTGCCCAAATGTTACTTAAGTTATGATGTAAAAAAACCAAATGAAAGTTAAGACCCATGACATTGTATCACATAGGCTATCACCATTTTAATGTTTTTCTTTTTTTAATTCTATGTGAACTTTTTATTTAAGTTTAAAAATAATGAATGTTGACATGCATTTAACACTAAGGGGATCCTTAATATTGTGCCTTTTACAGACTTCCTTAAACTGGATGAAAGTAGTTAAAAAAGACTTTCATAATAAAATACAAATGCATTACTAATCAGTAAATGTACTGATGCAGTGCTTGTCAGTTTTTGTTATTAGTAAATACGTATTCTGTCTTTTGTTTGTATTTGGCTTTTCTCCTGTTTCAGGCGAAGAAGTATGCCATGGAACAAAGCATTAAGAGTGTGTTGGTGAAGCAGACCATTGCCCATCAGCAACAGCAGCTCACCAACCTGCAGGTGAGATTTATAAAATGCATTGGTCGGCTGAAACAAAGTTTGTACTGTGTCCGTCATCTCTTGATTCTTAACTAAATGTCTTAGCCTTTTCATGAATCAGTAATTCAATCATCTCTTTTCTCAAAAGTTCTTAAAGCTCTTTTGGAAGTCTTGCTTCATTCTCCCTCAAGCTGTGAAAAAGAAACGCCTGTAGACCATATGCACCTGTTTTTGCCCGTGCTCTTTTTCAAATGGTTGTCGTCAAGACAGAGTTGTTTATTGTGTTTAATGCTTTGCACTTTTATAGGGCAGTTATTTATGTTTATTGTGTATTGATTATCATGGGGACAGGGGAGAAACTCTCCAAACTGTATGTTGTTTTAGCAGGAAGTTCTGAATAAAGTGTTGGCCTAACCAATTTTGTCTAGCAAAGCAATGACATTATAGAAAAAGCAAAGCTCAGGGATATCTAACTTTCTTTTCACCACTTTTTTCACTTTTACTGTCTTTCAGATGGCAGCAGTGACAATGGGCTTTGGAGATCCTCTCTCACCTTTACAATCGGTCAATAGATTATTAAATTATTTTTCTGTCCGCATAACCAATGGCAATTGTCTGTTAACCTTCTTTTACTGGTTGCTTTGGCAACATCTCTGCCTTTTTAAAATCTCACTCAAGAATGCATATTTTGTGAGGTAAACTTGGCTTTTAACTGCCAGTGTACTTTCGACCATCAGTAGACTTCTGTTTATCATTGGAGCTGCATGTTTTTTATTATTAAAAAAATATATGTTTTTAATATAAAATAGACTAAAATTAGAGAATTGATGGAACGGGGATCTTTTGGCCAAGTCATGTTCTTCTGTCAGGGAACAAGTCAACTTCCATTAACCTCATGAAGTAGGCACATATACATATTTTGTTATATAATTAAATTGCAGACACAGACTGACTTAAAGGAATAATTTAACAGCGCAACAACTTTCGTTCGTTAAACCATCCCTCCCCTAAGGTATGAGCAGAACGTTTGAAATCCTCTCAAGACTTAATATGGATTTCGTTTGAACTCCACGATTACTTTTGTTACCTTACTTTCATCCCTGGACTACAGGTCAGTTACTGAAGCCAAATATTTGTGAGGGCTTTGGATGTGTATCACCTCAGTGTGCTTTTCTTCATATGTCAGTTCAATAGTGACATGGTCATTTTGTAATTACAAGTGCTGTTATTAATATTTTATAACTTTTACATGTGTTAGTATTTTTACACAAACTTCTATCTATTGATTACAGTATCCCATTGTTACCCGTTCTACCTGTCCAGATCCCCTAACTTAGAATTGGCCTCTTATCTATTTAAGGGGGAATCATGCACTGTAGAAAATACTCATTTTGTATTAGTGTATTTATGTGTTCTTTTGCTCTCAAATGTTTATCGTGTATTCCCCCGGTTGGCAGGTGGCAGCTCAGCGGCAACGTGCCCTAGCCATAATGTGTCGGGTGTATGTGGGCTCCATATACTATGAGCTCGGTGAGGACACAATCAGACAGGCCTTTGCCCCCCTTTGGCCCAATCAAGAGCATTGACATGTCTTGGGACTCTGTTACAATGAAACACAAGGTCAGTGTCAATTAAGTGTTAGACATGGTGTTAAGGCTAATTCTACACCTCCATTTGAATGCTGAGGGTTGCATATAAAGCTGCCTAAGTCTTCAATGGTTGTATATGTTCTGTTTTTCTTGCATTTGGCCTAATGGCGCAGGGGTTTGCCTTTGTGGAGTATGATGTGCCAGAGGCTGCTCAGCTGGCTCTGGAGCAGATGAACTCGGTCATGCTGGGGGGGCGAAACATTAAGGTAGGTTGTCCGGAGCTATGTGTACCTCCTCAAGGTAAAAGGTATTCATCGACTGAGATTTTTTTTTAAATAACCTTTTCTGTATATCTTTATTTTGGATACCGAGTCAATTTGTTAAATAACTGCTTTCTGATGACTTATAATACAACTTGCATATTACTAATTTCCCTCTCTCTTTGCTTGTCTGATTTTCAGGTGCGTGAGTTGTGTATGTCTGGGTGTATGTTTAGTGTACTGTCAGTGTTGTGTGTTATGCTTCCATGATGTCATCAAGACTATTTTAGTGACCAGTTCCAGTAGGATTCCCAGCGGCGCATGGCGTCGCTCCATGTCCATGGTGTGCTGATGATGGGCTGCGCCTGGTTGGTGTTGCTTGGCCGCCCCATCTGTAGTACAGATCCCAGTCGTCATTAGAAACCCGTCCTACATAGGGAGAGGAAGCTGTCAGGTTGCGTAGCAGAAGAATGAAACACTTGCGGCCCACTTTCGGTAACTCGACCAGCTCAGCCAGTCACACTGTGCATGCAGAGTGTGACTGGCTGAGCTGGTAGTGTTTTGAAATTTACAGCGCGTCCTTATTTGATAGTTTCGCACGGTTATTTACAATTTGTAGAAGAAGGGATAGTTGGTATTTAATATATTGAAGGTTATTTTGTATTTACTTGTGTAGTGAGATACGTTTATTTTACTTAATATATCAAGAGTCTAGGTGTTTGTACATTGATTTAAATTCATGTTCAAATGATCGGCATCCCTAAGAGACCCTGTTTGTTTTATAGTCAGGCTGGTTTAAATGTGTGGTTAATGTAAAATGAGATATATGAAGAGTGCAGGGATGTTTACAGATTTTGAAGTACAGTTTTTGTCATGTTTTAAAAATGGAATTTTTTATAATGTAAAAATGTAGAGAGTACTTTGAATCTAATAGACAATATAACAATGATAGGATAACAGGCAAGAATTAAAATGCCTTTCTTTTAAATCTCAGATTCAGAACTTTGAGTTTAGTGATTGACATGCAGCATTAACGAATTACTTGGATTCAAGGATAGCCATGGCATGATTGTAAAAATAGAGTGGCTTTGAATAAGCTCGGTGGTTGTCCAAAGTTAGTGCTGCAGGGACTTGGAGTTTTCGGTAGTGCGTTCTCATTGGTTTTGAGTCCCTTACTCAGTAGCCCTGCTGGTATGATCTGTGCTATAGGTTGGGCGGCCAAGTAACATCGGTCAGGCGCAACC